CCGGCCGCTTCCTTCCACCGGGCGGGAGGGCCGGAGGGGGAAGGAGCCTGGCGGGGAGGGGGCGCGGTGCTGACTCCGGGCTCTGCCCCCTGCCCGCTTGACGTCGCTGTAAGCACCGGCCGGGACGGCTGTTTCACTGCAGCTTCCAGGGCCCCGTCTCCCGGGTCAAGTAGGGCCGGGGTGGGACCCGGGGATCCACTTTTTGTGAAACGTCGGCGAAGAGAGCTTTGCAATAGGAAGGCCCCTCTCGGCCTGGAGACAGCGGAGAGCCTGGCCTGGGCGATGGGGATGGGATCCAGAGGCCACAGCTTTCCGGCCGTGTGACTGACGTCTCTGTGCCTTGAGTTCTTCCTGCCTAAAATGGAGGCAGCATTCCGCCCGCAAGGTTCCGTAAAAGCAAAGAGATCCGTGTAAAAGAGCCTTGCAGGCTTCACCGCCATTGCCGTGATGATTCGCGGTCTCTGCCGACCCCTCAGGCAGGGAGAGAAGCCACCCTGACCACGGCGTGGTCAGCTCAGTTGCCTCTGCCTCTAAGAAGGCCGCCCTGATTCAGTCTCTTGGGAGGACTCCTCCCTTTGGACCGCACACCACTCTTCCGCCCGCATCTGGTCCTCCTCTCCTGTGCCTGGGACTGACTGCAGTAAGTGTCATTATTTATGCAAAAACGTGAGTTCCTCCCCTGGGGCTCCTCAAAGTCAGAGGTGACAAACCTGAGTTCACGTCTCAGTTCTGCCACACGTTGGCTGTGGGGTCTTGGTCTGTGGGCCCACATGTCCAAGCCTCTATAGCTGTTGAATATGAAGGTTTAAGTGCAGTAATGCCTGTAATGTACTGTCATGTCTGTTGCCCAGTTGGCCAACTTGGGCAAAAGAAGATGCAAGCTTGGGATCCTGAGGAAGGCACCATAAGGGGTGACTTTTGGTCTGGACTTTTAGAGTCAGGAAAATTTGCAGCAGCTTGGATGGACTTAGAGTTTATAATACTCAGTGATCTCTCACAGAAGCAAAGAACTGAGTACCACATGTTCTCACTCATAAGCCGACCCTGAACATTGACCATAATACTGTAAGAAAGGGAAACTGCCAGGGGAGGGGGGAGGGGACACCACTTCATCAATAAGGGTACCTGATATCAAGCCAGGTGGTGGGGACCAAAATAAGGCCCAAACTTTACCTATACAGTGACCATTTGTATACCCGAATTGTACCCATCTTTAAAATAAAAAATTGTAAGCCGGGCTTGGTGGCTCAGCCTGTAATCCCGCGCCTTTGGGAGGCTGAGGTGAGTGGGCTGCCTGAGCCCGCGGGTTCGAGACCCGCCTGGGCAGGCGAGACCTCATCTCTACAATAAATCAAAAATTAGCCGGGCGTGGTAGCGCGTGCCTATAGTTCCAGCTACTTGGAAGGCTGAGGCGGAAGGATCACCGGAGCCCAGCAGGTCAAGGCTGCGGTGGCTGGGACTGCACTCCAGTCTGGGTGACAGAGCGAGCCTCCAACTCAAAAAATAATAATAATAAAAAATAAATAATAAAATAAAATAAAAAATTTTAAAAAATGGTTGTAACAGCCAAAGAAGTGGTTATATTCTCCATTTACATCTATAAATGGACAATTCCTGCTCTGAAATGTATTGCTGCTGTCCGTCTGAAAATTGAACGAGAATTAAAGAGAGCAAAGTTGAACCCACGCTGTGGTCCTTCCTGAAACCAGCTAAAAGACAGTGAAGGGATTCACTGAAATATTGGAAACCAGACACGGCCAACAAAGAATGGTAACTGACTGAATCCTAACCAGACAATAAAGTTGAAAAATAGCTCAATTTACACGGTGGAACTCCCAGGTGGCTCCAGAATTGGTTGTACCAGGTGGGTGAGTGGGGAGGCTAAAAACAGGAAGATTGTTTGGAAATCTATTTACGGAGCAATCAACCTCCCAGATACCCTCCCTGCCAGCAAAATACAAATACTTTAGGCAGGAGAAATACAACACTCCAGGCAGGAGATAGGAGGAGATTTTCTGTTGACCAGCTGGACAGAGAAATGGTCTGTACAGAGCTCCAACCTTGTGCAAAGGGCATCAGATCTGTTTTAGTGTCTCATTCTTAGTACAAGCAGATGGCAAAGGGTAAGCATTTAGGGAATGCCTCTAATAAGAGAGACAGATGTCAAAACAAATAACAGGGAAACAAAAAGAACTAGAAAGTAGCAACTATGCAAAAAGGGGAAGACTTAATGGAAAACTACGCTTGAAGTCCTAAGAAATAAGATGTTGCACCCATGAACAAGAATGGGAAGCTACAAAAAAAGAACTCTTGGAAATTAAAAACACAGTTGCAGAAGATGAAAATCTCAAAAGAATGGTGATGTACCCAAGAAAATAAAGGAAAAAGGCCAAGGTGGAAAACAGAAAAGAAAAGATAATTACAGAGCTAGTCAAGAGAATTCAACAACTGAATGACAGAAGTTCTAGAAAGAGGGATTCGAGAGATTGCCCAAGAACATAAATACACGAGTTTCAGGTTGAAATGACCCATTGAAGACTCAGCACAATGCGTGGAAATAGATTTACACCAAGACCTCAAAACTTCAGAACCCTGAGAACAAAGAGAAGATCATAAAAACTTCCAGATAGATGGGAAATGTAAGCAGCCTCACACAAGGAATTCAGAATCAAAATGTCATCGGATTTCTCAGTAGCAAGGTGGGAGCTAGGAGACAATGGGAATGCACCTCCCAAGTTCTGAGGAAAATTCCATCCCGGAATTCTGTACCTGGCCACATGATCATCAAGCATGAAGACGGAATACATGGTCAGATGTAAATTCTCTGCACACTTCCGCTGGGAGCTGCAGGAGATGTTGCTTCAGCAGAAATGAGGGTGGAAACCAAGGACAAGGAAGGCATGGCATCAGGGAAGAGGACGTGCAACCAAGGAGAGGCACAAGGGACTCCCCTGGCCAGTGGCAGAAAGCAACTCATCCTGACTGGAACAGGACACAAGGCACTGGAAGGGATTTCTTTAAGAGGATGAAATTGGCAGACGTATTGAGAGATTTACATAAATAATTATAGGATAAGACATGGCTCAGCTGTCACTAGCATTCACGTGGCCTCAGCAAGCAGACAATGAACACTCTTCTAGCCAGACTTGTGGTGTACAAGATATACCCATGGAACAAACTGCACACGAACCCCTGGAATCTTAAAAAAAAAAAACAAAACTTGCCTGGGTGTGGTGATCACACCTGTAATCCCAGCACTTTGAGAGGCTGAAGTAAGAGAATTGTCTGAGCCCAGGAGTTTGAGATCAGCCTGGGCAACATGGTGAGACTTTGTCTCTTCAAAAAATTTAAAAATTAGCTAGACATGGTGGCACATACCTGTAGTCCCAGTTACTTGGGAGGCTGAGGCGGGAGGATCACCTGAGCCTAGGAGGTTGAGCCTCTGCACTCCAGTCTGGGTGACAGAGTGAGACCCTGACTCAAAAACAAAAAGACTTGTAATGTAATTATATCAAGAAGAGGTAGGAAGACACAAAATATACATTTGGGTAAGGATAGAGAAACTGAAAAATCGAGAAGAAGCAATAGAAACAAATAATTTCAAGTCAAAAGCAGTTGCCTCTGTAAAGAGAAAAGTGTGTGTGTGTGTGTGTGTGTGTGTGTGTGTGCGCGCGCGCTGGAGGAGCCGGGAGCTTGTTCTGCTGCTTTCCATTACAAGTCTTTTAGACTGTCTCAACTATGTGCTTGCACAACTAAATTTCTTTGAATTGAGTGACAAGCCCCTGTGTCAGGGCTTCCAGTGGCAGGAGGGTGGGCATTTTCAGCAAAAGGCCTGCCTGGTACTGAGCACCTGCAAGACAGCAGGAGAGGCACGTGCTGGGGACCCTGGGATACTAAGTGGGCGGGTGGGATGCGTTCGTCTATGGGGTGCCTTGCCTT